TTGGTAACACTCAAGCTAAGACAGAAATGGACTGTCTTCTTACTCCAAGGCTCTTTTGGATGTCCGCTTCACAGCCTGGAACTAACTGGGTGCCACAGTTCATATCATCTTTGACCCAATTTTCCCTTGAAGTCCACAGACCCATTTCACAGATTTGATATTACCAAGCTTCCATTATCCTGGATCACTTACACTCACTTCTTAGTGTCATGTGATCTGACTTCTAACCCCCTCCCATACTCCAGTTACACAAACTTTAATCTCATTAGATTTATTACAGTTTGTTTCCAAAAAACAACTAATCCACACTTTGATGGGAATTATTTGTTTTTAAGAACTCTTCACTTTTTGCCAGTTATATTTCATGCTCAGCATTGATAGGAGCTTATTGTGCATTCCATACAGGCATCATTAAAACAAATAAACAATTGCTGGAAACTTAGATTTAACCAAAATCATGCAAACATTTCTCCTCTGAATTGCTAATGATAAACAGTCATCATGTGAGTATTTGAGTCCTTCATTTAGTGCAAAATGTATTAATGAAGTAATACTGAGACACACTAATCAATCTTTTCAAAGTAGCCTAAACAATGTAAATAATTATTAGATACTGATCAATTTGAGTCAGAAACTGAACACCTTATATAGAAGATGTATTTAGAGGATAGAGTTTCTTGAGCATTTTAATCTTGACTATGGAGACTGATAACTACTTCTTATTCTGGAGAATGGGCAACAGTGTGTTAGGGGAAGGGAAAATCATTGATTATATATATATGATATACCAACTCACATTCATTAATCAACCTCTAGAGTCACTTGAATCATTAGAAATGATAAATCTTAAGCACAGAGAGATTTAGTGAAATATACAAATTCTCACAACCTTGATTCTACAGACCTAGGATTCCAAGTCCCAAATAGGCCTGTTCTCTCTTCCTCTGTAGGGTGTATTCTCCACTCAGCTCCTTAGCCATTTTCCAGGCCTCCTTATAGAAAGGAGGTGCAGCAGTAGAGTGAAACTGCAATTTTGAGGATTCTTAATTTTTCCAAAAGAAGCTTATCAGGGGAGACAGAAGAAGGTTGCATAATGGTGGTTAGGAATATGGGACTCGAAATTCATTCTCCTCTGGGATCATATATCCCAAGGGTAAAGGACAGAAATATGAAAGAGACCTGTGATTTTCTTAATTTCAGAGGGGAAAAGTTAGTAGATTGCAATCAGGAAGCCTATGGGACATAGTCCCCAGAGTCAAAAGAACAAGAAATATATTCTACTTAAATAAGTTAGGATGCTTACTCTGGAGTCTCTTCCTAATACTATAACTGCAGATAACTGTGAACTGAATTGCAGCTACACAGTGATAAACTTTATATTTTGAAAGGTACTCTATCCTGACATGTTAAGCTGGAGTATATAACTTTCAGAAAAAGGAAAAAAAAAAAGGAGAGAGAGAGAGAAAGAGAGAAAAACGAGAGAAACTTCCTTATTGCTGAATGCAGAGTAGTTTTAGGTTTTCAAACATATGTAATATGTGGTCTCTAAGTCTATTCTAACTATGCTCCCTGGTTACCTTGGGACATTAGAAGTGAGTATCTTCTCTAAGAAGGAGTTACATGTATTTTTCCTTCTTTTTTTTTAGTAAGTTTAGGCATAGAAGAGAGGTGAGCAAAGGAATAAAATAATAGTCAAGCAGTTTTAAAAGGTAAGGAAAAGATATAAAGAATCCTATCCATTTAACTTTATCACATTATGAAAAATTCATTATGCTGCTCATTTCCTTAATCATTCTTTGGCCAAAATTTGCAGAATCACTGAGTAGCTAGGAAAGTATGTGAAATAAGTGTTACATCCATTTTATTGATAAGAGACTTGTACATCTTTAGGATAAACATGAGCAGGAGCAAATAGTATTATTAATATGGACGTTTTATCCACCTGATACATCTTAGTAAATCTTAGTTATTTTCAGAAACTTTTAGAAATGTAAAACCTGGAGTAATTCTCTTTGAACTCAAAGTTTAGCTGCAAAATCTCAACAGCATGAAAGAGAATATCGCAGAGAACCAGGAAACATATTTATCAGAATTATGAGGAGATGAATGTAAAACAAATTATATTTTGCTAATAATGCATATTAGTAAATGTGCATTCTAAGAAAGGCAATTTTTAGCAATCATAATCATAGTTTCTCACCAGAAAATAACTTTTTAATGTAATTAAGTGTATTATGAGCTATTAATGGAACTCTGAAAATTACACCATCAAATGTTTTATGGATTAATACTCAGTCTATTATTGATAGTAATTCTAAATGTCCACAAATGTCAAGTATGTGAGATTTAAATGGCTGAGTACTAGTTTAGACTTCGTTAGTCTAACTTTGTGATTCTCCAGGAGATAATCTTTTGTACCTTGTATTCCACTCTGTAAAAGGAGAGAATAATACTGCCTATTCTATAGGATTTGAATAGAATAATATAAGAAAAACAGCACAGTACTTGTAGAGCACAAGAAATCATTAAGCAAAGAACTTTAATAATTTTAATACTAGTGATTTTTCATCCACTATTACTTTATTAGTATGGCTCGGGCATTTTCGGTATTCTAATTTTTCACTATTTTTGTTAGATTTATATTCTCAGGGATACTTCCTGTTTTGGAAGTAAAAGAAACAAAATCTATGTCTTTTTTTTTTTTAATTTCTGGAGATGCTATTGTTGAAGTTCAAATATCAGACTCTTCTTTCCCAGGAAGAGCCTGTATATGGGAAATGCAGAAACAAGCAATGTGATGTTGACAAAGAACAAATATTTTATTTTATTTTTGTGCTGAGGATAGAACCCAAGTCCTCGTGTATGCTATGCAAGTTCTTCACCTTTGAGCTGCATCCCCTTTGCCACAAAACAAGTATGTTGGCATCAAGAGACTTATGCTGCAGCTCGGGATTCACTCCTGAGTAGCCGAGAACCTCTTAATACACTGACCTCATGTAACACATCATTTTTTTAATACTCTTGGAATATTATATCTCTTTTCACTGAAAGTTTAGCTAAGATAAAAGGTGCAAGGATGCTTTAAAAGTGTAAAGCTGTGAAAAGATGAGTTTTTAGAAAGGCTTATGCTTTTCAGTGTATCTCAATGGGAACTGGGTTGAACAGAGAATTTGGAGACAATTCTTGTATGGCAGCACAGGTACCTATGGAGTCAGCTACTGCCCACTCTTCCCCCACCTGGATACAGTGGACTCTTTATCTCCAACATGAGCAAAGTATTGAGTAATGTTGGTCCCATGTATTAATTTTAGACAGCAGTCAATAATTACTTTCTCTGGCTAATACATGATTTAATACTTAGTCTTACTTTCTGAGCCATATTTTTTATGGTCATCCTGGCACAGTTATATCTATTGTTTAAAAATTTGAGGCTATAAAAAGGATGCATGATTGTGTAAAAGAACTGAAGAAGTATTTCATCAATAGGTGTCATCCAAAATTTTATTTGGTACAAGGCTGGACATAGCTGTTAAGTTTTCTTTTTTGTCCTATATCTGGCTTCATTTATATCTTGCAAGGAATAACTCTTATTTCTATTTAAATAATCTGCTGTCAGATTATTCCCCTAAATTAATATTACAAATAGAAGTTTTGTGTCTGACTTTTGGTGTTTTCTAATTCTGGTAATTTTTTTAAATTACTACTAATTACATTCATTCTAACTGGTAGATAAGAACAAAAAATTGTGTATCTTAATTGGTTATTATGCTAGGGATTTGTCTCAGTGGGAGAGTGCTTGCCTAGTATGTATGAGGTCCCAGATTCAGTTGAAAGCATCACAATAAAAAAAAAGATAGTTTAATTGGGTATCATGATATTTTCATATGTGTTTCCCTTGGATAAGCATAAGCCAGGTTAAACATATCTAACTCTCCAAAAATGTACTTTATTATGATTAAAGTATTCAAAATTTTTTTGTATCCTTTTGAGATGTATCATAGCTGATAGATATCTACCCTCACTTTACCCTGCTGCAGTTTCTCTTATGATGCGGTGATTCTGATCATTAGGAGGTTTCATTATTTCGGCAACTTTAATAATTATCATCAGGGATTTCTTCTCATTCTTACAATATGATTTTGTAATTAACTGAAGTGGATTATTAAAAATCCTAAAATTCTAACTGACTTCTTTTTGGTTTGCACATGTTGGTTCTGAAAGTTGGAGGTGACACTGGAACCATATTGGGTATATGAGATATCCTCTATTTCTTTTAGCCAAAAATTTTAAAGCACCCACTTCATTAGGATCAAGCTATTTGCCTTGCTTGGCAGGGTTGACTAATATTGCTAACTTTCAACATATTTTATTAATACTCATTGTATAGAAAAGGAATATTCAGTGGTTTAATTCATTCTGTGCTCTTTCTCCAGAAGTTGTACATAGGAAGCATATTAATTTATCAATTAATTTAATTTAATTATCATAAAAAATAAATGCAATAATCTCTTAAGATTGTTTAATCAGCTTGGCATGGTGGTACATGTCTGTAATACCAGCAGCTCTAGAGGCTGAAGCAGAGGGATGGAAAGTTCAATGTTGGACTCAGCAACTTCGCGAGGCCTAAACAATTTAGGGAGAACTTATTTCAAAATAAAACAAGCATAAATGTGCTAGGTTGTTGCTCAGTGGTTAAGCACCTGTGTTCAGTCCCTGGTGCCAAAAAAAATATTGCTTTATAAGTGAAATAATAGTTAAAGCCAAAACAATCATAGTTAACGGATACTAGCCACTTGCCTCAGCATGATTAGTAGGCTGCACACCTAGTACAAAGATACAGGTTTTTTACTTGAGATCAAGTCCAACACACTTGTTTACTGTGCTCTTCACTTTTTACTCTTCTTTTAGTATTTATATATTCCACTGAAATATACTTACAAATCTGTCATGTATTTATTTGACCAAATGCAGTGTCCATCATCTCTCTTATTGCCTTTCAGATGATCAGGCTCATGAAAGAGGTCCAGAGAAGAAATCAGACAGAAGTGACAGAATTTGTCCTCTTGGGACTCTCAGACAATCCCCATCTGCAAGGTGTCCTCTTTGCACTGTTTCTGTCCATCTATGTGGCAACCATGGTGGGTAATCTGGGCATGATTGCACTGATCAAGATGGAGCCTCGCCTCCACACCCCCATGTACTTCTTTCTCAGCAGCCTGTCCTTTGTGGATGCCTCTTACTCTTCTTCTGTCACTCCTAAGATGCTGGTGAACCTTGTGGCTGAGAACAAGGCCATTTCTTTTAATGGGTGTGCTGCCCAGTTCTACTTCTTTGGCTCCTTCCTGGGAACTGAGTGCTTCCTGCTGGCCACGATGGCATATGATCGCTATGCAGCCATTTGGAACCCCCTGCTCTACCCAGTTCTCATGTCTAACAGAATTTGTTTCTCATTAGTGGGTACTTGCTTCCTTGCAGGCTTTGGAAATGCAGCCATCCACACAGGCATGACTTTCAGGTTGTCCTTTTGTGGCTCTAATAGGATCAACCACTTCTACTGTGACACCCCACCCCTGCTAAAACTGTCATGTTCGGACACCCACATCAATGGCATTGTGATCATGGCTTTCTCTAGTTTTAATGTCATCAGCTGTGTTGTGATTGTCCTTATTTCCTACCTGTGCATCCTCATTGCCATACTGAAGATGCGTTCAGTAGAGGGAAGGCACAAGGCCTTTTCAACCTGTGCCTCCCACCTTGTGGCGGTCACCATTTTCTTTGGGACCATTCTCTTCATGTATTTGCGACCCACATCGAGCTACTCAATGGAGCAGGACAAGGTTGTCTCTGTGTTTTATACAGTGGTCATCCCCATGCTGAACCCCCTCATCTACAGTCTGAAAAATAAAGATGTGAAAGAGGCTCTGAGAAAGACCTTACAGAAACACCTACACTAAGGCCACGTCACCTACCCTCTTGTTATGTAAATGATATATATTTTATATGAATTTTATTTAAGCTCTTTCTCTATATTCAAGTAGATGATATAAATGAGATACACTTGTTAATCTCCTAGAATCTTCAGTGTGTCTACACAGGCCCATCAGATTCATCATCATGTTGGAGGATGGCAAAAGTATCAATCCCTTGGATAGGGCTGACATGAGTCCATGTTTCAGTTTCGATATTCAGCTTTCTCAGTCTTAGATTCGTCATATATGCATTAGTGGTTTTGTCTGGATTCAAGGCAAACAGATTTTAAGGCAGACATTTGTATGCAGGAAATTTATTGAAGTGCATTCTCGGCCACAAAACTTGTACTGGGAGGGAAGGAAGATGGACAAAAGATGTTGAATTGTGATGATCTACAAAAGAGGGCTCAGGCACTCAGATAATGAGTGCCGGAGGTGAGTTGGCTCTTCAGAAGTGAATTACCAAGTAGGAGAATGTATAATCTTGTGCGAGACAGTTCCTTTATGAGGAAATTCTAACAGCCAAAGTCAGATGTGAACTCTCAGCTAACAAAACAACTGGAAGTTGGAAGAGTAAATTCTTGAACCATGAAAGGCACATCAGATAAAATCTGAACCACAGCAATAACGGGAACATTGTACTAACCTTGTAAAATAAGTGGAATATTTAGAAGTTAGATATCAATGTATTTGACCATTTTGTTTTTGTTCCTTCCAAGGTTTTATGTAGTTTTCAATAAACATCAGTCAAGATAAAAGGCTTGTTACTTACTTTAGTTGGGTGGGGAAGCATCACTGCTGGAGCAATGGGACCACAGCTTTCTTTGATGAGAAGATGGCAAGTCAAGACTTATGCTTATTCACCAATTTAAGGTAATCGGCACTTCATCACTATCCATGACCACACTTTAGTCTGAATCTTCTCATCATCCAATTGAGCTTCCATGGTCCATCATAAAAGGATTCATTTTCAATCACTCCCAATTCCACGGTTCCACTTTCTCTTCTTTGTACTTATCTTACTAAATAACAACACAGGAAAGTCTAATTTTTGTTGTTGTTGTTGTTGTATCCTCTACTTAAACTGCTTAGTACAGCTAGGGAAAACCCTTTAGCACGTTATTCTTTCTTGCTCATCTTACCTCACACTTCATCCTCAATCTTACCACTTCCAAATCCTTATACTTATGATTATCCTTCCCTCCTGTCACGGTGGACAATGTATCTCTTCTTTCTCAAATCAGTTCTTTCACACTCTTAGAGCCTTTCATGGACTTAATTTCTTGAATTATTTCTCTTCCCTCCATAAGCATTAGTATCTTAAATTCTATATTAATATCCCTGATTGTTTGCAAAACATCGTCTAAATCACCCTTCTTAATAATTCCCTTGACAGGAAATACCATCCAGTCATCAACTGCCTTCTCTGTTCCCCTGACAATTAAGCCCACCAGTAATCTCCTCATTTTCCCTACTCCTTCTTAGTCCATTTGCTCCACACCATGTTCCAGTTTTCTTTTGGTAACACTTCTCTACTGAACCTGTTCTTGTCAGATATACATGAGAAGCACGACTGCATTCAGAGATTTATTATCTGACTTCATTTCTTGTTATCTCAGGAAGACTTGTCACAATGGATTCCTCCAGCAACCTTGATACTCCCTTTTGCAAACTTCATTACTGTATCACTCTTGCATTTTTTTTCTCTCTCTGTTCTGTTTTACTTCCTCCTAGTGAGCTTTCATAGCTCTTCCTCCTTCTTAATATTTGTTTGGCCATCTGCACACTGTTCTTAGGTAATCTAAGACGTCTTCAATAATTTCAAAAAAATTATCTCTAATATTAACCACTCAGCTGAGTTCCAGATTAATATACTGAACTAATATCTTGGCATCAAGGACCTCAGACATGGTAAGGTTAAGAAATCAGTATTTCTTCTTTAAGTGCTCAGACATCAATAAAATAACCATATATTTTCTACTGCTAAGAAGGACTGTACCTTAGAATCACATATCATTAACCTTAAAATATTCTTTTTTACATTCTTGCAAATTATAATTTTCTATTTTTCTTCTTCAGTTTGTGCTTAGATTAAAAAAAAAAACATCTTTTACATTCTTATTCACAATTCATCCAAAAACTATTCTTTGAAAAATACTCACAAATTTCATTATATCATTAAGCTTATATTTAAGTTAGGAAGACTTTATTCTTTATACTGTGTGAGTGTATGTGTGTGTGTGTGTGTGAATGTGTGTGTCTGTCTGTCTGTCTGTCTTTCTATTTGACAAGAGATAGCCATACTTTGAAGCAATATACTCTACGCAATATTTAGAGAAAGGTAGAAAGAATCATGTAATACCTCTCTGTGAACATAACTTTTGAGCAAGGCCCAAGTAGAGACAGTACCACAGGTGTGTTTATGGAAGACATATACAGCATATACACAGCAAACTCAAAGAACCTGAGGCAGCATGCTCTTTTGTTTGTTAAAAGAACAGCAAAAAGACAAACATAAGAGGGGAAGCATTAGAAAATTAGAGGAAAAAAGAACTGATTTCAGGAAGGTGTTTGGAAAAGAATGGAGGTGGTCAGAAATGGCTTCTAAAGAGAAGAGAGGACAACAAAATTACCTTATGAATTGTTTATGGAGTATGTAACAATGAGAAGAACTTACAGTTTATTTAACTTCATCAATGCAAATGAACATATAGAGTTGTCAATGAATAGAAATGGGAAATGCTATGCTTGGAGGAAATTAGAAGGCACAGGAGATCAAGGTTGGACAGGTGGAATTGCTATTTGATATCCACATGAGGTTTAAACATTGCTGTGTAAATGAATTAACACTGTATTCTTAATAAGATACAAACAGATATGATAAATTGTGGTATAAAGGTGTATTAAGAATTGTAATGCAAAAAAAAATGAGAGCTCATGTATATGGCATAATTTGGCATGAACATGCTTTATATACAGAGTTACGAAAATTGTGCTATGAATGGATAATTATGAATGTAATGCATTCCACTATTGTCATGTATGTAAAGAAATAAAAAAGATATGATGTTGAATTTATGATTGTGTGGTGCCTAGAAAACAAATGGGTACATTGTCCCTTCAGATCTGAAATAGACAGTTAACTATACTTGTATAACCATTCTGTTAATATTGAGCCAGTCCTATTTGGTTCTAAAAAAAATCTTTTTTGTAAATTTTATGATTTATTATAATGTTTTATAGTAATATGTAACTATCAGAAAATAAATACCTAGAAGTTCAATGCATCAACAGTAAATACCTTTTAAAGACAAACTTTTCACTCTTGTCTTGCTTTCCAAATGAGAGGAGTTTCATATTTACGCTTGGAAAATTAGACATATTAATTAAAAATATGTTCTTTCAGTCCACAGAAATTTTTACACCCAAGATTCTATTTTTAAAATTTGCACATTTTTATTTTGTATTTTTCTTTTTTTTATTTATAGAAAGAATCCAAATGAGAGAACAATTTGGGTAAATCTTTCCACTTCAATTTTAAAAAGAAAATAAATGGAAAATATTCACATTTTATAATTGTGGTCTAAAAATCCACTTTTTAATATTGATTTGATTGATTAATTTCTTACAGAAAAACGTATTGTTTGTATGTAACAAAGCTGATCTGCCTCATATGGCTTGGTCTGAAACTACACTTTGAGAAATTTGATTGGAAAAACCTGGTACTCTGTGCAAAAAGAAAAAAAAAAGTATCTCTAAATTCTTTCTGCTCTAACAAATGCATTGTCCCTAACTGTTCAACTAGTCTCTGTTCTATTTTCAAAATTCCTCTTAAATCGCCAGCTATCTGAATCATTAACTATATAAGTGATCCAGTTTCTCACAAATGTCTGTGAATCCTAGCATGTTGATGACATTAACTCAATAGGTCAGCCCCTTTCCAGCAGAAATCTGTAAGCTCCACCCTCTGCAGGACCCTCAGCCCTGACTAGAACTTCCACTGCTGTGACTGACAGCACTGTTCTCTTCCCTCCATCATCTCCTGTCCTGAAAGCTCCACCTGCCCCACCTTCTTGTGCCCAGTCTCATTAGATGGCCTCATCTCAGTGCTTAGAGAAGAACACAGCAGACTACCCACGGGAATTGTTTTGTTTATACTACACAAAATATACAAAATTATCTACCCCTATTTCCTTCCTCCTAAATTACTGAACATGATGGCTTATTTCTCTATATTGCTCAAGATTTCCTGGACATTCATACCAAGCTGTGTATATGAATGTTAGCTAAGAATTGGACCCCAAAGGAGAATCCAGCTCCTCAAAGCATCAATTTAGTTTATACTCTTGAGGATCAAATATATTTTAATTGGTTTCTTAAATTATTATCTTTAAAATAAAACTCAAGTGACTACACCAAAGAAAAACCTTACAAACGTTCCCACTTTGTATGTACAAAATATGGTGAGTTGATATTGGCAGATAGGTAACTTTCTGTACCTGTTAATAAAAAATATATATCTTGTGTTTTATGCACAGATTAATATTCCATCTATGTGTGGAAAATATTTTGGTCAATTTCCCTTATTTTTATTACCTTTGGTACTGAGGGAATAGGAGGGGGGATAGGAATGGGAAAGACAGTAGAATGAATCTGACGTAACATTCCTATGTTCATATTTAGAGAAAGGTAGAATCATGTAAGCCCTCTCTGTGGACATAACTTTTGAGCAAGGCCTGATTCCATGACCAATGTAATTTCACATCATATACAACCACAAACATGGGAACTTTTACTCCATCAATGTATGATATGTCAGAATACTTTCTACTGTCATGTACAAATACAAGGAACAAATGAAAAAAATTGCCAGGCTTTCTAATGGTGCCAGTGTTCACCTGTGGTAATATACTTGGTACATTCAGTCACATCATGAATTTCTAGATCATGTCTTTGATAGCATACTCTGGAGGGACTAAGAGCCT